GATGAAGTCAAGTAATCTCTTCCATATCCTGGTTTATCTCTTAGTTCACTTAGTGCCCATAGAAACGAAACACCAACTTAATTAATTAACTAATTGGTAAAATGTAAATACACATTTATACATTTACAATTTGTTCATCCGCTGTTTAAAATACATACACTAATTAGAGGTACATTAAAAAAATTGAATGTTATTTCGAAGCACTGCTTAAAAAAATAAAAAATGGGAGGTAGGCATTTACTTAAATAACATGCAATTGAGGTGTTCATTTTGTATGTTTAAAAAGTTTTGTTCTTAAGAGTAACGCAGTATTAAGTCATTAATAGTACGTGTCTCCCATTCCGCCTGTTGGAGTCCTTAGGTCTTCACCCCAATGTTAAGGAACAGCTAATCCTAGATCGTTCAAAATAAGGGTATGGGAGGGGGATGTAATTTTGGATAAGCGCATTGTTGTTCTCGAACTACACATATTAGATCACTTTGTTTTTTCATCAAAAAAAAATTGCACGCCACCTTGTAGGTACCACATATATTCCTGTAATAATATCGGTGATGCTTGGTAAAAGTAAGGCGATGGCCTAAACGCGATGGGTTAGTATTCCGGAGAACACCGTTTGGATTCAGGGGTCCGTCTGCCCCAGTCCAAGTTTGTCTGTTTTCCTTGGATCACGTATTAATCAAATGCAGGGACAGTAACATTTCATAGATAATCGTTTACTTCTGTCTTCATTGGGTGTGTCTCATCTTTCTGACCGCGACCACTATCCTTCCGTTTCCACTTTTCCTTAAAGGAGGCTAAAGGGGGGCTTCTACCCTATCCTCCGATTAGATTCCGGGTCTGTCTGCCCCATCCAAGTTTGTCTCTAATTTCCTTGGATCACATATTAAGTAAATGCTAGGGCAATAATATATATAAGGGATAATCTTTTACCCTCTTCAGTCTTCATTTTGTCTGTCTCATCTTCCTGACTCCAACCACTATCCATCCGTTTCCACTTTTCTTAAAAGCAAGCTAAAGGGGGGCCTCTGCCCTATCCGATTGGATTCCGGGTTTGCCTGCCCCAGCCCAAGTTTGTCTCTAGTTTCTTTGGATCACGTATTAAGTAAATGTTGGGGCAGGAACATTTCATAGATAATCTTTCACTTCCTTCTGTCTTCATTGAGTATGTCTCATCTTCCTGACCCCAACCACTATCCTTCCGTTTCTTCTTTTTCTTAAAGGAAGCTAAAGGGGGGGGGGGGCTCTACCCTATCCTCCGGTTGGATTCCGGCTCTGTCTGCCCCATCCAAGTTTGTCTCTAATTTCCTTGGATCACATATTAAGTAACTGCTGGGACAGTAATATATCAGGGATAATCTTTCACTCTCTTCAGTCTTCATTTTGTCTGTCTCATCTTCCTGACTCCAACCACTATCCACCCGTTTCCACTTTTCTTAAAAGCAAGATAAAGGGGGGCCTCTGCCCTATCCGATTGGGTTCCGGGTTTGCCTGCCCCAGCCCAAGTTTTTCTGTAGTTTCTTTGGATCACGTTTTAAGTAAATGTTGGGCCAGGAACATTTCATAGATAATCTTTCACTTCCTTCTGTCTTCATTGAGTATGTCTCATCTTCCTGACCCCAACCACTATCCTTCCGTTTCTTCTTTTTCTTAAAGGAAGCTAAAGGGGGGGGGGGGCTCTACCCTATCCTCCGGTTGGATTCCGGCTCTGTCTGCCCCATCCAAGTTTGTCTCTAATTTCCTTGGATCACATATTAAGTAACTGCTGGGACAGTAATATATCAGGGATAATCTTTCACTCTCTTCAGTCTTCATTTTGTCTGTCTCATCTTCCTGACCCCAACCACTATCCACCCATTTTCACATTTCCTAGAAGGAAATAGAGGGGTGTTTCTGCCCTATTCTCCGATTGGATTCAGGGTCCTTTTGCTCCAGTCCAAGTTTGTCTTTGTTTTCCTTGGATCACATGTGGAGTAAATGCTGGAACAGTGACATTTCAAGGATAATCTTTTACCCTCTTCAGCCTTCATTTTGTCCGTCTCATCTTCCTGACTCTAATCACTATCTACCCATTTCCACGTTTCCTAAAAGGAAGCTACAGGGGGGCCTCTGTCTCATGTCCCACTTGGATTGCCTGATCTATGTTTGCCTGTGGTTTGCTTGGATCACCTTAGTTGCTGGTTATAAATACATATTTCTCGATATTTGAGCTTCTAAAATCTTGTGAGAAAACTTAAACTATTTCAATCGTCATGCATACAATGCTAAAATCGTAAACAATAATTGCACCTAATTAAATAATTACTTAAGTTTATATTGAGGGAATGTCACTGTACCTACTTATCTCTACATTTCCACTATTTAAACATGCAAGTATGATAGTTAACAATAGTAGCGTTATCTATAACTACATGTAGCTTTTAAGTCTCTTCTGTTCTCCTGTAAAAGAATAAGATGAATGTTATTAAGAATAATTGACAAAATAATGAAGTACATGTATGATTAAAATTATACATAAGTCAATGGTTTAATCTCATAATTTTGTTAACATTTGATTTTGGTCGATTCGCAGCTCAAGGTGTTAGGGTTTTTCAAATTAGTTTGCAATTAATTTTAACAAAAATATCACTCAATTAAGTGGTTTTTTAAGTCACCTTTGCCAGGCTCTCGCTGTTGTAATTAATTGTGAGCTGGTTAAGTTCCGCTCTATAATTTGCTACCTGTAATGGTCTTTTTGTTGCTGCTATAGCTACGAGCTAATAAATCGAGTATATGCTACATTGAATTTATATATTAACGACGATGCACGCTTGTGGTATATACAGATAAACTTATCAAAGTGTAGAATTAATGTTGTACGAAATCAGAGAGGAACAATTGGTGGTATCGACTTTTAGAATCCCAAGTTGAGATGAAATAAATCAGTTAGGTTTTGTTTAAGTCGCATTCTTCGCTTTCGTTGACTCAATTCATTCCTTACATGTTATAAGTGTTTCAGTTTTCACACGGCATTTTCATAATCAGATTGCCTTAAGGTATTGGTCTCTGCCTGTGCGAATAATAAGAGCGTATTTTACATTTACTTTAAAGTATTTCGTTTTTCATTTTTAATTTGTTTCTTGCGGACGCGCGTTTACTAACACGTTACGTAAGCTTGGAGAAAGTGTGTTGTTGAAGTCGTCCTGGAGAACTAGCAATCTGCTGTTGATAACACACTGCGCACTCACTTCCGTCTGGCAATGAAACTCGTGACCTTTATTTGCTCTGCTCTCGCCTGTACTCATGCACATACATAACACAAAAGTATTGTAAATGCAATGTAAAGTATTGTAAATTATATCGTGGTTATTGCACACATGTGACTGAGCGTTTTCTTGGTGTTGTCTCTAACCAATCGTCCGTAGTGTTGTATCGTTTTTGTAATGTGCATGTTTAAATGTTATCTCATTTCATTGACCACCGTCCATATCATGCATTTTATCGGTTGGTCGAACAAAGACGTTTACTGGATGGTAAACGGTTCAGGTTTTTCATTTTTAAAAGCACTGTAATTTGTCGCTAATTTGTTGCTAAATTTAAAAATTTGTCGCTCGAAATGATCACCGGAAAATAGAGGAAATGCTGGCTTGATATTAGACTGTCACAATAAATACTGTATGTCGAAATAGAAATAGTGTAGAAAAATACTGNTACATAACTTTTTAAGCGATAAAACGAAGTCGATAACTTAGCGAAAACAAAGGCAGCTGAGACACTGTAGATAAGAACTCTGATGGCTGATATGTAAAATAAATAATGAATTAATATGTTAATCTATAATGAGTACGGCGGAACTATTAATAATACATATGTGGATGTACGATGAGATCGCCTTAGAACTTGGAATTTCACGTCCACGTCTGTGCGACATCCACGAATATGTCTTCATCATTTGAGATCGAGGCTCCAAGGTGGATGCATGATGGGATCACCTTAGAACTCACAATTTTAACATCCGCGTCTGTGCAACATCCACGGACATGTCTTCATCATTTGAAATCGAGGCTCTAAGGTGGATGTACGATGAGATCGCCTTAGAACTTGGAATTTCACGTCCACGTCTGTACGACATCCACGAATATGTCTTCATCATTTGAGATCGAAGCTCCAAGGTGGATGTATGATGAGATCGCCTTAGAACTTGGGGGGGGATCACCTTAGAAAATTTCACGTCCACGTCTGTGCGACATCCCCGAATATGTCTTCATCATTTGAGATCGAGGCTCCAAGGTGGATGCATGATGGGATCACCTTAGAACTCGCAATTTTAACATCCGCGTCTGTGCGACATCCACGAACATGTCTTCATCATTTGAAATCGAGGCTCCAAGGTGGATGCATGATGGTATCACCTTAGAACTCGGAATTTTAACATTCGCGTGTGTGCGACATCCACGAATATGTCTGCATCATTTGAGAGCGAGGTTCCAAGGTGGATATATGATGGGATCACCTTAGAATTCGGCATTTTAACATCCGCGTCTGTGTGACATCCACGAATATGTCTTCATCATTTGAAATCGAGGCTCCAAGGTGGATGCATGATGGGATCACCTTAGAATTCGGCATTTTAACATCCGCGTCTGTGCGACATCCACGAATATGTCTTCATCATTTGAAATCGAGGCTCCAAGGTGGATGCATGATGGGATCACCTTACAATTCGGCATTTTAACATCCGCGTCTGTTCGACATCCACGAATATGTCTTCATCATTTGAGATCGAGGCTCCAAGGTGGCCGCTATACAAATTCAGTAATGTAGCAGATCGCAGTTACCTTCGCGAAATGAACTATGAGCTCTCCTACATCAACTTTAGCCTGGCGCAACAAAGTGGTTTAACGATAGTCCGCCCGTCGACCCCACTCCTCCTCGTCGTCATCGTAGCAGGCGGCAACGCAGCGGCGCCGGCAGAGCCCGCATTTCAATCGAGCCGCGCGCCGCTCATTCGAGGTCGAGACGTTGTTCGGTAAAGATCTTTACGTCCGTTCTACCGCGAAAACGCCACCTTGATTCTTCAGACGACCATCCAACTCACCGATTCCTGGTGCTAGTGCAACAGTGGCCGCAAACGCAGGTGTTGCGTTTGATCCGTCAATTTCGTTCAGTGCATATTTTAGCAAGTGTAAAAGCGGGCAGCAGGCGGGATCAAAACCAAGTGTATGTGTGTTGTGCTACGACTCCCCGCGTGAGAGAGAACCTTTGTGTTTGTGTACAGCTCGTGTTGTGTGCTATTTTGGTTTCTTTACTAATAACATAGCTGCCACGTAGCAGCGTGTTTTGTGCTATTTTCGTGCCGTTCGTTTCACTCTGTGTGATCGCGACGATCGGGCTACGGCAAGAAGAATTAATACGCCGCCAAATAGTAGTAGTGTTCGCCTTCTCGACAGCGTCTGCCATTTTTGTTTACATCGCTTCCTGTGTGGTGCTAAAAAAATCATTACCGCATAATTAATAATAAGCGCTTTTGTAGTTCCAGCGGACAATTTACGGAATAGTTTTTATGTAAACAGTGAAACTCGTAAAGGAGGTGGTAGTTAGTGTTCCACTTGAAACGCGTTTGGATTACCATTGCATTAACCCACTTGTTTCACGGATACGTATTTCATCACTTCGCAAGTTCTAGGATAACACTATAAGGAGTAAGTCATTTGTTTGCTTGCCTCCGCATTCGCAGTCATTTTCCGATTTGCACTCACAAAGGTCTAAGGAAAACGTTATTGCGATTAAGAGTACGAATACGCGCTAGTGTTTGATCTTAACTGCCTCACAACTTTCTTGTCACTCCTCTCATGATAAACGAGCAAAAGCGTTCGTTGTCTGCTCGATCGGGTAATCTACGAAAGGAGTCGTCAGAAAGAGAGATGGACGGTCTCCTCAAAAACGGATTTGGTGTTTTCTTGGTTTTTATATCACTGAAAGTAGCTAAAGTGTTGATACTTTAGAAGCAGAGTGGTAGAATATGTACGTATTTTGAAAGGGCGTTGTTGAAATCAAAACCGGTTTAGGCAAGAATATACTACGGCATGTATGCACGTATGGTTCTGGATAGGTGTGTGTTGAAGTCGAACAGAGTGTAAAACGAGGTTTCGCAGACGTTTCTCCTTCATTGCCAAAGACACCTGTATGTGTTTGACAAAATGTGAGGCCATTATTATAAACGTACAGTTTTTATGGTTAACATAAAACAACAAAAGTGTACATAACTTTTTAAGCGATAAAACGAAGTCGATAACTTAGCGAAAACAAAGGCAGCTGAGACACTGTAGATAAGAACTCTGATGGCTGATATGTAAAATAAATAATGAATTAATATGTTAATCTATAATGAGTACGGCGGAACTATTAATAATACATATNGCAAGCTGGCACTACACATAGCCTGTCTCGAAATAGAGATGGTGTAGAAAAATGCTGCAAAAGGGTATAATTTGTCGCTAAAAGATGGTACCTACTTATACCCATTTTGTCGCTAGTCTATCCTCTAGCTAATCAACGAAAAACGATTGGAAAACTGCAAACTGGCACTACACATACCATATCTCGAATTATAGAATTATACTGCAAGGGGTATAATTTGTCGCTACTCGACGAAAAACGAGTGGAGAACTGACAAGCTGGCACTACACGGGGCGTATCTCGAAATAGAGATGTTATAGAAAAATACTGCAAGGGGTATAATTTGTCGCTGACAGATGGTACCTATTCTTACCAATTTTGTCGCTAATCTATCCTCTGCTGAATGATGGTACTTTTATGAGTTTTTTCAACGCGAATGTTAACCCAGGCACAACCTTTCATTATAATTTTAAAACGTAGATCGTGCAACATTGGTTTCTTTTTAAAAGTATAATTATTAAACGTGTTTTGTTTTCACGTTCGTAAATTTCAATGTTTAAGTGTCTTTTTGTTTGTTACATTTCGCACTGATAAAAACGAAAACTACTTTTCATCTCGCTACCCGACGCATTTAGCTTTCAAACGTGTTCGCGTTCACGGTATAAGTGATTTATATTCATTCGCCCCGATTAACGAAGAACAATTAGCTGGTTACGACTCGAAATCGAAATGGTTTATGCGTACTTACCAACATAATAATGCCTATGCCTATAACCTGTTGTATTGTAGATGCATTCCGCTAATGTCAGAGACGCGATTGCAATAAAACGTTGCAAAAAAGTCGTAGATTTAGGCCACCCTGTTGGCTTTTGTAAATAATATTACAGAAAAATTGAAAGATGTGTCTGACATTTACATTTTTAAAGTATCTAACTAATGAAATATAAGCCGTGAATTATTTCCGAAAACTGTGCAGTGATGAATTATCAAATTAGCGAGGACCGCACGTGTTCGCACATATAAGGCCTGTACTTAGGCCGACGATATTTTAACTATTTTTTTATTTATTTTCCGATATTCTTATTCCAGTTATTATTATTGGAGTCAGCTGTTGTTTATTTTTTGTTTTGAGCCCTTGTCTTTGTAATATTCCCTCCTTCTTTCGCGATGTGGTTACACCATCCATTCGGTTGGTTCGTTTGAAATTAATTAAGCAAATCGTATCGCGTATTCACGTCGAACATTCGAATCGATCGGTGTTTACGTAACGGCCGACGACGACGTTTTGTTCCATTGTTTTCCGTTTGTAGCGGGGCTATAAAATGCGTGCGGTTCTGCGCTTTGAATTATGGGTTTCACTTTAAAATGTACAATTGAGTAGTACATAATACAACCGGCGAGAAAATACACGTGCCCGTAAATGTGGACTCTTTATTACTGCGCGATTAGATGCTGTATTACAATTAAATTCGGATAATTAAATACATACTTAATCCAGTGGCGGTTCGTGCCTTCAAAAATTTAGGTGTACCAATAAACATGTATCTCTACACAGGAAGTGTAAATCATTTTGAAGTGAAACTTCTATATAGATGGGGTACTACGATTTACGATTTTATTACGCTAGAGTCCCGGCGGCGTGTGCTGTGCACAGCTGTTGTTTTCTTACCTCTGCTCTCCACGTGGCTGGGCATCTTTGCCTCTATTTGCGGTCTGTGTAAAAACCACATTTTCATTATAAGTGAATTCCAAGGATTTTAATACACTATCATATACCCCAAAAGCAAAATTGCTGTGGTTACTGTTGAAAAATTGTTTTTTTTTTTGTATTTTTTTAACTATTTATGTATGTTAATGTAGATAAACCAATTAAAAATATCTGTACAATCTATAATGTTAGTGAAAATAGACATAAAAAGTATTTTCTCAACATCTGGGTTGGTGTTTTTATAATCATTTTGTTTTTATTTACACAATTGTTTACATGTGTCCAATTGAAGTGAAATCAGTGTGTATACATATAAAAAATAAGTAGAAAGACGTATTTCGTTGTCGTCGTTATCAGCATTAACAAGTTTTGATGTGTGTATGTATGTAATAGTTGCATTGCGTCATTATTTGTTTCACTTACTTCAATATCACGCCAGAATTTCAAATTAGATAATTCGTACTCGTTTTATATCCTTGAATGTGAAAACTAGTTTAAAGGCCGAATCTATTTAAATTTTATTTTTATTGCACCGAACGTTTCTGTTTTGCGACGCGGAATTGTGATGCGTACAGAATAAATTTAAACGTTCATATTTTAATATTAAATCTTGTTATCTAGTACAGGAATGATTACAACAACGAATATTGTACCTTCTATTAATTTAATAAGTTGTTAAATTTCCGAGGAAATGGAGTTATAATCAGTATATGTATATGACAAAATTAACTCCGCGTTTCGGCTGTTTGTGTCGTTAATCACCTGTCGTACAATAATATCTTCATTATTGTTATCGATCGGGGGTGAGTTTTCAGTACATAAACTTTGATTTTCAGCCGAAAGAGTGGTTGTCGCATACGCTTCTACTTTCTATCTAGATAATCTTTGCATTTTCTTCCGTTTGCGAGCAATTATTTAATCCAAGTCCCTTTACCCTTTTTAACTCCTTTTTTTTGCCTCTAATATGTCTCTAACAATAACCCTTCATCTTTGAATAGTTGTTCTACCAACCAATCTCACCTATTTCTAATTGATTTATATAATATCCTACTCTTTGTAATGCCTCCCCCATTTTCAACCTTGTTCCGATTCGTTTTTCGATCAATGTTAGTAAAACCTCTATTTATACTTACCAAAGAAAAATTGACCAAATAATGAAGCAGTTAATTCACTTTATATAATTTTGAGACCAGTTTAAATATCTATTAACTTACAACCCGGAGACCCTTTGGCCTGTACGAATCTTTACTCGGAATCAAATAGTTATAACATTTTTGATGGATTTTCGTACTAACCATCGACTGCCTTCGTTGAGAGCTGCTCTAAGACAAGATTCCCTTTCGATAACTTCCGCAAATCCCGCCGCATAACCACCAGTATCCCTTCTCTCATATAGGTAGGCCTTTTTTACCGCTCGCCACCACACACGTGCACAAACAACCCGCATACATTAACGTTGACGTATGATCGGTACACCTTTTTTATTTACGGTATTTTTAACATGTTTTTATAATATTACTAGCTACTACCTGAAATAGAGGACAAAACAAACAATAAAAAAGCGCACCCACTTCCGACCTATCGTTTGCCGCTGGCATCAAGATTTTGAAATGTGACTTTAAAGGCTAATTATTACGAATATATGTTGTTTACTTTAAGATAAGAACATCTGTAACTTTCAATATTTAAGGACAATTTCCGAACCATATTTGAGTTCCCATTAAAAAATACATTGATCGTAGGAATTATTACCCACTTTGTTTTCACCCGGTCGTAGTTGTAGGGCGACCTTTTTCATGTGGCACTGAAACCAGATAAGTCAAATTAGCATAATTTAGTACTTTCCCAGATTATAAATCAAATTTTTATCGTATCTAATTGATCAATGCTATCTAATTGATTGATAATTTGTTTACAAAATGGTTGAAGTACCAACGTGTAGTAGTAATATTAAATTGAAGGTACAATAATTGGTAGACGTGTACGTATTTTACTTATACATCGACAAAGTATATTTGATTTAATTAAAAGATCATAACGGACAAATGCTTGTATCATTCAGTTTACTTTACTATCCAAAAGGGTCCCAAATTCTTGTGTGCCCAAGGGCATCGGCATGGTCTAAGACGGTCCTGATCGTTACAACTAAGGCATGTTGTTACATTTATGTTTACAATCCAAAGACAATTAAAACAAACGAAACGAAAGTGGCTAACGATGATGTAAAGATGTAAACTATCTCAATAATTACGGCAGTGGCGGTGTTTGTCTGCTAAAATAAAGAGTTACAAGTCCGTTCTTGTTATTTATAGCTTTTACCCACACATTTCTGCGACACAATACATATATGCGTACATATACAATAACATTAAGTTTGCACGGTTTTTGTAGGTGCAGTGCCAACTAATCATTTCGGCACTGTTTTGATGTACAGGATGTTTAGGGAAATAGTCGCATCGGGGAGAGATAAAAAAAATGAAAAAATGGCTAGAGCACAGCATCTGTGCCTTTTTTTAAAGGAAAATTTAATCCTTATAAATTAAATAATTTTTACATGCAATCGAGAAATAAAAAGACACCATGGTATAGATTGCA